GAGGTAAATAAAAAAAAAAGAAATCGATGAAATAAGTGGAAAGCCAGAGGTACAAATAACATACAAGAAACAAAGAGTAGAAAGAAAGAAAAAATAGGAACAATGTAGCCCAGCTAGCTCGACTCTTCCTTCAGGCTTGGCACTACTAGGGCAAAGCTGGTATAATTTTTTTTTTTTTAGACATTGTGGGGTCTCGATGTGGCGAACGAGTGCCATGCCACGCTCTTAGAGTGAACGGACACAGTAGACACGGTAGGTACAAACCAACAAACACATACACATTTATTTAACTCATTTATAACGATGATATCGTCCGCCAAATTATACATAAATCGTTATCAACACGCAAAGTCATCATTACACAAAATTACCAAACACTCAAACAACATAACACAAGAGCACACAAAAGGCGGCGGCGCCAATGCTTCACTCACCACGTGGGCCTACCGCAGGCAGCCCGCGGTGCCGTCCATGGCAGACCCACCGCGAGATACAACCGTTCGCGGCAACCGCCATGCGCAGAAGAGGCTCCCTCAACTCTCGCCCGCCACCAAGGCCTGCCTTCCGTCAGGGCTCACCGCCGGCGCTACCACTCTACCAACAGTGGTACTCAACGCGAACACAATGCCATCTATCGCCCGGCGGTCGTCACCCGAAATGCGGCCTTGGGTCGAGACACGTGCGCCACACGGCGCAGACAACTTTACAGGGGGGTGTCAGCACCCTTACATTTCCCCAACCATAAATCAAACCATATCCCGAAATCAAAAATTAGCTACACAAGTTTTTAACAAAAAAAATGACATCGCATGACCATAATGTCCTTGCACCACGACACCGCCGCTGGTCGACACTGGTGCACTGTCCAGCTCGACTTCACCTCAGTACCGGCCCCGCAACAGCAACGTTGCCGTCGGCGCGACGAACCGTCGCTCGCGCCGACACGTCTTCCAGTTGCGACCAGCACTCACAAGGGTGCCGGACTGCAGGCAGTAGCGCAGGTCCCAGGCATCTCCATCCCTCGACCTCACGACTGCATTCCTGGCCAGCGACGCTGACGATGTGCAGAAGACAGCCGGCCGTGGATGACATCCCTCCCGCTGAATACATCAACAACAAAAGCTTGAAAGAAACAATGGAGCAGGGTCTAGGGAAGGGAGCATCGGGCTTTTCAGCCACGTGGTACGATGGTCAGTACTGCTAGCTAATACATCAGCGGCGGCCAAGACGCCCATCAAAATAAAACAAAAATCACTTTTTCTAACTCGGGCATCGCAAGATAAAAAAAAAAGTGAGGGAAGCCGAGCGCAACTCCTCAACGCCACGATCATTGGGCGCCAGTGTGGGGTCTCTACGTGGCAAACGAGCGCCACGCCACGCTCTTAGAGTGAACGGACACAGTAGACACGGTCGGTACAAACCAACAAACACATACACATTTATTTAACTCATTTATAACGACAATATCGTCTGCCAAATTATACATAAATCGTTATCAACATGCTAAGTCATCATTACACAAAATTACCAAACACTCAAACAACATAACACAAGAGAACACAAAAGGCGGCGTCACCAACACTTCATCACCATGTGGGCCTACCGCAGGCGGCCCGTGGTGCCGTCCACGGCAGACCGACCGCGAGAGACAAGTTTTAGCGGCAACCGCCATGCGCAGAAGAGGCTCGCTCAACTCTCGCCCGCCACTAAGGCCTGCCTTCCGCCAGGGGTCACCGCCGGCGCTACCACTCTACCAACAGTGGTACTCAACGCCATCTATCGCCCGGCGGTCGTCACCCGAAATGCGGCCTTGGGGCGAGACACGTGCGCCATACGGCGCAGACAACTTTACAGGGGGGTGTCAGCACCCCCACAACACAACCAAATAAATCCAACAAACTATTTGGCTGCGGTAAACATAAGGTATATTAATTGTCCATTGGTGCTTATGAAATGACTTGACTAATGACTAGCTTCTGTCATACTCAGGCATATGCCACTACAGCAAATGCAGTCCCAAAGCAATCACTTAAAGGGGCCCGGAACATCATTTTAAGTTATCATAGAACAAAGTTATTATTGGACTCTGTTGCCTCGCGAATCTCTTTCCACAGTTTTTTTTATATGTCAAGTATGAGCATTTATCTCACAAAAAAAGTTCTTTCTCTCTCCTTCATCACCACAAGTGCGCTTAAAAGCTACATTGAGGCATTGCAAGGGGACAGTACACAGCCGATAAATTGCATCGCTACACATGGCGTGTGTGTTATATCTTGAGCAACCTGCAGTACCTCCTCTCATGAGAGGCTACTGCTACAGCTATAGCATTTATACTAAAGCACATAAGTGCTTAATGCCACTGTTCTGCTTGAAGCCCGAGCAAAGCCTCAGTGTTACATGTTTTAACTGATAACTTCACAATATTCCTTTTAGTTTCACTGCACACCGCATCTGCCATCATCATATTCCTTTATTCCACACAGTAGAACCTTATTGATAGGTTCCCATTTTGTACGATTTTCTGGTGTTAATGTTTCCAATGAACAACATTAAGAGTGACCTAATACAATTAATATTCTTCTTTATGAGCTCCTACAATCTTAGGAAACATGGAAGTTTTGTTTGTCACCATTTCATATACTGCGAAACTACAATATGTTTTCGAGTCATTTAGGGATGGCATTAGAAGAAATTGTAATGTAAATGGGAAGAAAGAAAGGTGGACGAAAAGATAACTTGCCACCAGCAGAATTCGAACCCACATGGACAATACAAATTGCAGTATACTATAGGTAGTAGTCGCAGCTAGACCACTGTGAGAGCTTCCTCACAGTGGTCACATAACCATGTCACATATGAGTAACATTGTGCACCAAATTTTTTCTTCTGCTGCAGGCATCTCTTGAGTTGTCACGCATTCCATTCACAGCTATCACCATCATTGCCACTGACCCTATCACAATGAACATGTAGACCTGCTTTACTAACAGCACATGGGGTATCATGTCATTGGAAATAGGTATACTGCATGCTTTTAATAGGCAATAATCTAAGTACACTATTCCCTGCTGCCACCTCTAAGATCGGTTGCAGGGCATATTGTTCGCAGAAATGAAAGTTGCCAGTAGCCACCGCATTGGCCCAACAAGCCACATCCTGTACTTTAGCACTGCTTGCACAGCTTCAAATGGTGTGAGCACTAAAATAGCTCTCATTCACTATAGCCACAACACTTGCATTGACATGGTTGGCAGCTGCAGCATAAGCCCGCATCGCTCAAGCAACAGCTGAAAATACTAATGGCTGTCAACTATTACTCAAATGAGTCTGTGCATTGCCACATACTTTGGACTCCCAGCGTCAACAATTAACAAAACGACGAACTTCCTGTGGTGGTGGTTATGTGATATCGTTTGCAAGTACGTTTGAGACTAACGATATACTCTTTTTTAAAATTCTGGTGTCTGAGGCCCATGCAGCTGAACACATCTTTGGCCTGCGCACCGTGCGTTGAAGATTTGGAGATGAAGCTTTCAGTTGGTCGAGCTGAAAAAGCTGGCTGCCTCAAAATGTACTTCCTTCCTGTGCACCTAGACGTTGGGGTCATGTGATCTGCTAAGTTTTGGATGTGCTGTATGCTTAATGTTTAAAAGTGTGGAACAGAGTAGGACAGCGCGCTCACTTCCTTGTCCTGGATTCGCCTCGGTGGTACAGCGACTACGGCACTCGGTTGCTGACCTGAAAATTGCAGGTTTGATCCTGGAAACGACAGTGTCATTTTAATGGAGGTGAAATGCTAAAGATCCCTGTATTTTGCAATGTCAGTGCAGATTAAAAAACATCAGATGGTCAAAATTTCTGCAACCTTTCACTATGGCATGCCTCATAATCATATCGTGGTTTTGTCAAAATTCAGATATTCCCTTTCCTCCAGGTTCGGATCCTGCCGGTGACAAGTTATCTTTTCTTCCATTTTTCTGCCCATTTAGATTACAATTACTTATAATAAAATCTCCTATACTTTTCTTGGCATCATTGCCTGTTGGTTCTTTCTTATATTGTGTGTAACAAAGAAGATCGAGCCCTTAAATTTGTTTCCTTCGTGCAACATCTTTTGTAACTTCAAATCATGTTTTTTAGATGTTCTTTCATGCTTTTTTTTTAGTTATGTATGAATGTTCTACTGTAGCCATTTTCAAGTGATTCATACAGTGACCTGTTTCTGTCAACGAATCCACAGTAGCATAGGACATGTACGTTCTTTAGCTCTATTAGCCTCACATGTCCTCCTAACTTCACTGAGCCCTACTATGTACATCCTATTTCACACCCTCTAACCCTGGGTAGTTTAAGGGCCCTTTAAATTCAGAATTCACATGCCTATCATTGCCAACTCATTATCACTATATGTCTTGCACGATTTCGCAATAAGTGGCCCTTGCACCATTAAAAATTATACTCATGTGTACGCTCGGTAGCTTGCGCCCCAAAACTTGCAGCACGCAAAAAATCTAGAACTTGCCTTTGAAACAGGCCAAACTGTTGGGTCTCTGTAACTTTTCCTTATGAAAAAATGTATTTTTGTTAGAAAGAATTCATTAGCTTCTACTTGTGTCCTTCTTTTAGGAAGATGGAGGAATGTTCTATAACTAGTTTACAGCATTACCTTTTGCTATTTTCAGAACTTGTCCTTTGTTATCCTAATCCTTCGAAAGTTCACACTTTTTATACCATACTAGAATGTGTCGACTTTTTAATAATTCTGTTCTATAAAAAATTATCTTTCACCAGCCAAGCATTGCTACACTTTTTTCTTGTTAGTTTACTGCTGTATCAATTCCTTGCGTGGTACACTAAGAAAAGTAACCGATTATAACAGGGCACTTGATCTGTTTAGATGACCTTATATTGATTTTTGCTTATTTTTACTTGAACTACATTGTAGGTATGTGTAGATTACTGTACAATTATAATGATCCCTTTTTTTTCCACTTTTGCAGGGGACAGTATTTCGAGCCACTGCTAAGAAAGTGAATCGCCACATGTGCCTTCGTAATGCACGCATGATGATTGTCATTGGAATTATAGTAGCTGGTGTGATCACCATAATAACATTGTTTGCAACAGGCGTTATCAAGACATAATTGCTCTTGCTTCTGTGTTTAAAACTACTTACAAATAAGCCTAATATATTGTGTTAATTGATTGATGTCTCAGACTTGTGAATAAGCATGGTAATTTTAACTGTGCATTAACACATAATAAATTTGTTTTCAATCCACATCACATTTTGCAACACAATGTCAGCACTACCAGGTGGGGTGCCATGATTTCCTGGCTGGCACAGAACCAAGCATTGCAAGTGTTTTGCACATCCCATTTTCTATTTGTGTTGGTTCTGTGAATTCCATTGGAGACTTTTCCTATAGCATGTGGTGTATATCGTCATTTGACACTAGGGACCACTTAAGTTGTTTTTTTTTCAGTATTAGCTGTGTCTTTAGTAAGTAGCATTATAATAAATGTAAAAAGGTTTTTTGCAGTTCATCCTTGCTTGGTTGATGAAGTTTTGCATGCTGCTACTATATTCAGTGTTAATTGACAGTTTGCCACGCTATGTGATGACTACCTCTCTTTAGCCCCGCTGCGGTGGTCTAGTGGCTAAGGTACTCGACTGCTGACCCGCAGGTCGCAGAGTCGAATCCCGGCTGCGGCTGCTGCATTTTCGATGGAGGTGGAAATTTTGTAGGCCCGTGTGCTCAGATTTGGGTGCACGTTAAAGAACCCCAGGTGGTCGAAATTTCCGGAGCCCTCCACTACGGCGTCTCTCATATACATATAGTGGTTTTGGGACATTAAACCCCACATATCCATCAATCAACCACCTATCTTTACCATGTGGTCTGAAACATTATGCTCTTCATTGTGCAGCTCAAAAAGGCTGGCTGTTGTGTAAGATTGTTTAATTTTCAATTTACTTGCCAGAAAAAACAAGGGTCCAGTATCTTGAGTTTTGGTTGAACAACTGCTGTTTTCAGTGAACTAGCAAAAAAACCTGTAGCATGAACTGGCCCTTCATAAAGTTCTGTCACATAACTGGCGTGGCATTTTTTTGTGTTTGTCACACTATAATCATAGAGAAATTGTTTAAAGAGATTGAGGCTATAATCGCTAAGAGGTTGTTTAGAGAGTTTGAGGCTAAAACATTGAGAGATATGTTTAGTTTAGAGTTTATGTTTCTCACATTCACTGTTTGATGATATGGTGTCGTTTTAGGTTAGTTATATGATAGAATGTATGAACTTTTATAGGGGCCACAGCTGCTTTAAATGTGCGAAAATTTGGGAAAAAAGTTTTATTAAGCAATACATGCTTGCTCAGACACGCACAATCTGCTGCTAGATGGCACTAGTTGTCCTGCTCTTGACATTGTCATTGCTGCCGCACGTGTGCCCAGTCACCCCCTGGCTGCCCCTGCTCGTCCCGCATGCGTGAGTGATTACAGCATGCCTCTGTGACCTTGATCATCATGAAATATTGAGTACACTTTCTTCTAGTGAAGGACAACACTGAATAAAAGGCCAAACAAATTTTATGCTGCAGTAGTGCTCTGAAGAAGCAATTAAGTCAATTTTACAGTTGCGCTTTTTTTTTACTGTCTTTTATGCAGTTCTTTGTGGTATCAATGATGTCCAGCAAATCACCTAATGACTAAATGTGTTCACTGTGTGTCGTCTGTGGCTGCAATTGCCAGTAGCCTGACTGCAGTTCTATGCTCCAGTGTGTAGCTGCTCGAGTGTGTACCTCACATAAACTATACGTCACACACTTTATATGAGATGTAAATAAGGTATATTATAGTACCACACTGTGTATAGGTTCTTGAAACCCTTGAAGGGGCCATGACACGGTGCCCTAGCAATTTGTGGTTTTCTGCAAAAACTAGAAGTACAGAATCTGTTATGCCTATTTAGATATGAAAAGTGGGCCGTAAACGAATATTTCAGCACAAAACAAGGCTTAGAATACATCAGCCGTAGAGCCTGCCCACGACCGATGATCTCCATTTTACATGGTGCATGCAATGTGACGTGCAGCAAAAAGCGGAGCAATCATCTTCGGCCTAAGTTTCAGCTGCTGCAAATCGTTCAGTTTTGGTGCCAAACTGAAGAAATCTAAAATAATCAGATTTCACAAGCAGCTGACCAAAGAACAACATTGTCCACCAGAATGCAGATGCTTGCACAGCTAAATGTTTGTTATGTTGCAGCTCGCGAGTAAGCCATTATTGTCCGACTCTCGGGCTGCTCGTATGTTTATAAAAATATTCAGTTATAAGTTAGGTGCTGGACCAAATGTGCTAAAATTTTGCCAGCTTACTTATGAATGCATGAGGATTAACCCACATACCACAAGATTATGATATAAAATTGGGTGTCATGGCCTCTTTAAAAATTCTTGAAATTTAAAGGTATGCTTTAGAGACTCTTGAAGGTTCTAAAGTCTTCATTCCTGAAAAGCCTTGAAGTTCTTCAGCAAAGCAGTGTAAAATAAATCATGGAACTAGCTTTTAAATATGTTAGATTAGTGTCAACAGACTTGCCTTATCAGAAACAATATGCCAGCCTTAGTGCACATGTTCTGCTATGTACCATGGACAACGTTCAGTTATGGAGTGAGAGACATGTACTGGTGTGGCTCTTGAAATTCGGGAACACAGCAGCCAGAAAACCACAAACAATCTGATATAGCCGCAGCTTCCACTTTGCAGGCTGTCTGCAGCATGCAGCTGCTTTAAATAAGTACTGAACTAGGTTCTAGGTCCAAGCTAATGGTAATTTGACATATTGAAAGTTGTAAGCTCACTAAGACACAAACGAAAAAAAGTGGCCACGTATTTCCGCGCTTCAATGCAACGGACGTCGAAAGATGATAGTCTTCTGCCCGGAGGTGCTGCGTGGTATATAGTGCCATCTGGCAGTAATGTGAAGAAATTAGTTTTTTAGAATGCAGAGCCTCTGGTAGGTGGCAGCACAGGGACGTTTTAGTTAAAGCCCCTGACTTTTTTAGAGAAGCATAGAAAACACCCACATTTGGTTCGTAGTTTCACATTATCAGTGAAGCGTAATAAACATTTTGGCCTTTGTAATTGCATATCTATGCATTTTATAAATAAAGAAAGACACTGATTAACACTTGCATACTGATGTTGTGGCTCAATATGCATAATATTTGCATTTCGATTGACAATGTTCGCCAGTATGAACGCAGCTACCAGATCAAGGTGGGTGGGCATTGAGCAAGGGGTTGAACTTTTGCTAGGTGACTGAATGGTTGCACAGGAGGACCAACAGACCGGCATACCATAATTCTTGCGTTGAAGTATCCCAAGAAAGACTTTTGTCTGCAAGAGAACACTTAAAAGTGCTTTGTGCATTCTTTTTCATTGTATGCCTTTAGTGTGCTCACAGTTTTAACTATGTCCCTATAAAGTGTTATGGGTCACTTTTGTGTGCATGTCGTGTGTGCGTGTCATTTCTCTTAACAATGTCTTTTTTTCTCGAAACTGTGCATTGACTTTTGTCTCATTGTTGTGAGTGACTGAGGCAGGTACTTCATTGAAGCTTTAATTTTGTGGATTTTCGCGTGTTGTAAGCTTTTATCATTTTTTGATGTCAACTTAAAGCAATCAAGGCTTGGAATTTTTAATATATGTTTATATTGCAAGCTCTCAATTATTCAAGCTATAGGAGACCTTAGGATTTTGTCTCACAGACAGATGAACTTTATTTGCCCCCTGAAAAGAAGGTCCCTATAAACCCACCGGGGGGGCTGCACCCGCGACGGGGTCGGGGGACAAGAGGTTCCCGATTGCTTCTCAGGCTCCCTGAATCGCCCGGAGTTGTTTCACTGGGTGTGGACTTGCAATACATTCTAGGAAGTCTGTCTCATTTGTGTGATGCCTCCTTGTTGAAACGCATAAGCTGGGGCACTGCCACATCAAATGAGGGAAGGTGGCGAGCTGATCGCATGCCGAGCAGTTAGGGGAAATGTCCGTATACAGCGCCATAGTGGCCGGCGACGGAAAGGAGCTCGTTTGGAGGAGTCGGAGGGCTATCTGCTGTCTCCTTGTTAGCTCTTTTATGATTTTGTCTGAATATCAGAAGAATTTGTCATCAGAATTTGTCGCAGATATGACTCTAGCAACATGCCAACTTGTGTTGTAAGTTTGTTTGTTGGCACTGCATCAATGTCACAAATAGCTCTGCATGATTGCCAGTAAAGCTTTTAAACGTCAGTTATAATACCGGTGCTAGCTATCATAAGTGTGTGCGTGCTTGTGCAATTGAAGGGACAAAATGTGCATTCTGTGAAAGCTGCTTGCCCCATCCCAATATTGGTGTGCTTTTCCACAAATAGCAGTGTGCTGTGCTGAAAGTGACTTAAGCATTTGGCGCGTGATTGACAAGGCAGTGACCACGGTGACGGGGCCCGTCAGCGCAGTATTATCACTAGAGTAAGGGGGCCAGTCAGTGTAGAGTAATCGGGACTACGATGATGGGGCCCATCAGTGTAGTGTAATCGTAACAGTAAGGAGGCTCGTTGTAATATCGATGCAGTTATAGCGACAGGCCCCATCGTCGGAAAGCAATGACTATAGTGAGAAGGTCCCCTCACTATAGTCGTTGCTTTATAGTGACAAGGACCGTCAATATAGTTGCATGGTTACTATGACGGGCCCCCTCACTGTTACGATTACACTACGCTGATGAACCCCCTTTAATGATAGTACTGCGCTGGCGGGCTCCATCACCTCAGTCACTGCCGATCGACAAAGACCACAGTTGGTTGAAACCTTCCCCTTAATTCTTACTGCTACGCTAATGGCTTGTTTTCATCACTTGATGACATTGTCCAAGTGATTACTAAAGTTCCTTTATATGGAAGTAATTTTAAATGTTTTTTTTATATATACATTTTTGTTACACTTACATATTTTGATTGTAGTCTTTACCAGCCATTGTGACAGTTAAAACAATATTTTTATGTATATCATATAATGTAAACACAGTTTTCTGCAGTGTTTTAAAATTTTTACATGGCTGAAGCCTTCAAAGATTTTATTATCGTTGATATATTTTTGATTTAGTGAACACTGTAAAAGTGTCTTCTTTGGAGCAATAAATTACAATGTGAGCATTTTCAGCCTGGGTAGATGTTTCCTTTATAATAGGCAAAATTCTGCATAAATTTCATGTGATACATACGTATACCGATTGTCAATTTTAAAGAACTGGAGCTTTACTGGGCAGCTTTTTGTGATGTAGCATCTAGAAAACGCTGTTTTCACACTATAAAATAACTGGTTATGAATGTAGGTGCCATAAATTAAAATACTTCAATTCACTTATCAATTAGAGCTCAAAAATGCAACTTGATCAATGTTTGAAAGATAGTCAATTGTGTTTTACTGCATTGAATATATATTGTTGTGATTTCTCAAGTGTTGGCAATGCAGTTGAACAGGTCAGAGGTTTTCTTAATTA